AAGGCATTCCACAGCTGGTGGCATTCGGCCGTGCGGCTGCCAATCTGTAGCATCAGCGGTACTACATCCGACTGCATGTTCTGAACCAGCTCCCGGGTGGTGTGGAAGCGGAGGATCGCCAGGGGCTGCAGCACGAGGACTTGCATTTGCCGAAGCAGTTCCAATACCTGCGTTAAGGTCATTGGATCTCTGTCCTTCTTGATCTGCAGCTTGCGCTCGGTCCGGTTCCACTCCAAGTAAGGAACATTGCAGGCCTCGTCCAAGATGAGGAGCTCCTTCGCTTGCTGGAGAGTTTGCTCCGACTCCATCACGGCCTCCATTCTCTGGCGGAGGAGGTCCACCCAGTGTTTCAGAAGCCAGGCCCTTAGGGGCAAGGTGAGGGTCTCGGGGTGCTCCGATTTCGTCAGCCTCCAGGCTTCCGTGGCCTTGTAGAGCTCCGGAACGGCTGAGAGGAGGCCCTTGGTCTGAGCAAACATGACGAAGTTGTCCTGGGCCCGATTGATTGAAAGTTGATCTTCGTGCCTCATCATGAGCCTGCTCGCTGCTAGGCATAGTTCCAGCAACTTGCGGTCCCGGCGGTCGCCCGACCGGCGGTCCTGCTGCCGATCGTCCCGCTCCCAGTTCCAGCTGCGGCCCTGGTGGCGGCGTTGCTGGGGCGCGCGATGGTCCCTTTCCCGGCCACCATCGAATCCTCTTGCATTGCCTTTGCTCTGGGAGCGTGGCCACTTGTCCCGGCCTTTGCCGGAGCCTACCCCTTGGGGCTCCTCTTCCTCGGTCTCTGCCGGGCGTTTCGGCTCGCGCGTGGAAGTGTCCATCGGCGCCGCCGTCGGGGGAGGAGTTGTCGGGGCCGGAGTCTCGGCAGTGTTCCGTGCTTCCTGACCGGAGCCCGCAGCTATCCCCACCGGCGTGCCCGCTCGGGCGCTCCCCTGGGAGGGCTCCTCCGTTTCCACTTCCGGCAAGAGACTGGCTTTGAGCTTGTCGCTCCGCATCATTGCAGACAGGAGTTGGGCCTGGTCCGCCGCCGCGATCATCTCCTGCTCCGCAATCTCCCGGGCTCCCTCGCGTAGGGCGTCCATGTTGGAGGGCCTGCGGTAGGGTGTAGGGTTGAGCAGGGGTATGGAGTAATTTCAGCAGCAGACCAGTGCGATACAGAACAGGACATTCCTGCACATGTCTGGGACGGCCACAGTGCCGCGCCTTGAAATCGTCTCCGCAGAACGGGCAAGGGCACTGCAGTGACGCCGTGCGGTCCTTGAGCCACTCTTGAACGGAGGTGTGCAAGTGAAAGACGTCGGGATGCATGGCTCGGAGATGCCTAGACAAATATCCCGGGTGCACTAACCACTGCCCACATATCATACAGTGGCGGTAGTCTGAGTGCTTGATTTTGATGGCGAGGGCCCGCCAGTCAGACTGAAGTGCATCATGACAGAAAGCAGAAGGCACCAACGGGAAAAGACCACAGGCACGCTCAAGTGGATTCGGATTTGCAGGCTGCTCTGGCGTTGCAGCGTTGTCATCGACAATGTCAGGATGGGGGTACTGAGTAGCGGTCAAGTACACTATGGGATCAGTCTGTGGGGCCACATGGGCATTCGGTTCCACTGAAGCTGCCGGCTCGGTAGGGAGGCTGACCTCCTGTTGTGCTGATGCCGCCGCATGTAGCACCGGGCATCGGCTGTGCTCAAAATGTAGGCAGAAAGAGGCCCAGCTGGTGAACTCCCATTGACAGTGTCTACACTTGGGCAATCCATTGTGACAATGTGGCATAAAGGCGCGTCGCATGGCAGCATAGGAACGTTTGGGAGGGACTACCTTGAGGTGCGGATGTTTCAGGGCACGGTGTGTACGCAGGGCCCTAGTATTGGGAAAATAGCAACCACAGTCTGGGCATGCTTGAGGCTTCACATTAGCAGAGAGGGCCACCAGTTTAACGGGAGCTCGCAGAGAAGAGCGCTGCTGCTGGGGCATCGGTGCATCAGCCGAAGCCGGTACACAGGCCTCAAGATGGCTCCACCACTTGTGTACTAAGGCAGGTTGCAGTGTCGCAATGTGCATAGTACGACAGGCATGTAGGCGTTGCTGAATCCGCTGCCGCAGCTGCTGCAAGGGGTCTTCGACACCCAGACGTAAAAGGAGGTCCTCAGGCTGCTCACGGGTGATGTACGATGGTGACTTGCTGAGAATGCGCAGTTGTCTGACTACATGCTTACAGAGGGTAGTGGCACCCCCATCAGCTGGCCCGATGCTGTCAAGACTGTGCATCAAAGTAGTTCAAACACATGTGCGCCATATCATGACTCGATGTGTGAGGCTGATGCCCGAGGATCGGAGTGCTGGGAGCAAACGATTGAAGGCAATCCAAGAGTGCTTAATGCGATCACTGAGGGTAAGTTTCTCAAAGGACCTATAACTAAGAACAGCCCCGAGGTAAGGGTGTTGCGACACTATGGGCAGGTGTGCGTGATCTTCACCCACTCGGACCCGAAGGAGTTTGCCAAGCTTAGGGTCCTTAGTCACATACTTATTCAGAATGGCATTTGCCTGGGCTCCTCTGACTCCTAGCAGGATCGCCGACTTTGTGGGGCTGGGGCGCATTCCAAAGCGACGCAAAGTTTCTAAGATGAAGGATATATGCCCAAAAGCCTGTTCAAGCTGCCTTCTGTTAGTTATGAGCCAGTGGAACAGGAAATCGTCAGCATAAACCGTGGTGTCATTCATAGAAATCCGTTGGCGTATGTGCTGGAGTGTGAGGCCTGTATATAGAACCCACACCGTTGGTCGTGTCTAGGGTGGCTTGCTTATGTCCATGGGTGACGCGAAGGCTAGCATGGGCATGCAGTTGCAGTATAGTATACTGTGCAGCAGGATCGACTTCAGCAAGCTGCAAGGCTGCCAGTAATTTATCGCGTGGCATTACGTCAAAGGCTTGCTTCAAATCTACCGACAACAAGACCCCTCCCCGGCACGCGTCTGGGCGGTGTCCTTGTCTACGGAGGTGGACATTTTGTCTTTGGGCATGAAGCACCGCCCTGACTTGCGCGCAGTGTGCGGCTGCACGATCTAGCGCATCTTGGACCGACCGTCCCTCCAAGTATGCCATCTGCGGCAGGGTCTCAACCATGTGATTCAAGTGGGGTCTTATACGATTATGCAATATAATCGAAAGGGCCTTTGACACTGGGTGAATCAAGGAAATGGGACGTAAAGCCTCGGGTCCCGTGAGGGGTTTATTGGGCTTAGGCAATAGGCATAGATCTGCAATGTGCCACTCTTCGGGTGGAGGTCGGTCCATGTTTGCTAGCCACCCATTGAGGACAGGCAGTAGCCGATCAGCCAGGGCATCCGCTGCTAAGCGCCACAGGCGGGCCGGTGCGGTGCTCGGTGGCAGGGCTTTATTAAGTGCTAAACCACGGAAGGCCTGGTACAGTTGTTGCCAGGTAACCTGTAGCGGTTCGGGGGCAGGGTCAGGCGCTGGCTGTGGAAACTGATGATATAGCTGGTGGTAAAACGCCTTGATAGGTTCGAGAGTTGATGCAATGGCCAAGGGCTGCCCATTGCCCGACCGGAGCTGCAGCTTGCGGCGTGGCTGTTTGGGCGCAAACATGCGAAGCACTCGAAAGACACCTATGAAACCATTGTGTCCTAAAGTTCCTGCAAGCTAGCAGAGATGCGTTGAGCCCGGAGTCTTCGGCAGTGGCGCCGCAGCTCACGCTGATGTCGCTGTAAGGCGGACATGTCACGCCACCGGGCCATGAGGTCACGGAGTGTGCGGCAGGCGCGTTGTCTGCCCTGTTTGACGATTGCTCGGAGTCTCCATAGTTCAGCCACTGAGCTCCCTCTGGTGTCTGGGGTAGAGGGCTGGCATGGGGCCTGAATATGGGCTGTAGCCGTATGCCAAGCTTGCGCGAACAGACTGTCGATGAGTTGGTGGGGATGTTGCCCGAGCAGCAACCTCATGGCCCGTTGAAAAGACTCAGCTACCTCCGGATGGTCTTCACAGACCTGTTGCACCTTGTGCCGTTGCAAGGATGGTGGTTTGCGAATGTTGGGGGGCCTAGCGGGGCGAGGAATACTGCCAAGGATGGGAAGATGTCTTAGTCCAGTGAGCGGCACAAAGGGCAGGGCCCGTGGCGCACAGCATCGGGACTGCTGATCCGCCTGCTGTCTCCTAACAAACGCAAAGTCTATCTGACTATGTCCGCGGGTGCCGGCTGGGCAGTACGTATGGGCCCGGAGTCCTCTAGGGCCCCATGTGTTGAGTGCGAGGAGGTCATAGTTGCGTACAACATCCTGGAACATGGCAGAGTCTCCTGCATGGGGCCCGATGCGATGGCATATGCCTCGGCCTACTAAGCTCCCCTCCGATGCCAGGTCGGTATTCATGTCTCCCATTAGCAGCAGTTGGTTTCTGCGGGGCAGGGAATGTAGGAGTGTAGTCAGCTGTGCCATAAACGCAGCGCGCCTATGCAGCAAGGAATCCCTATGCTGAGCTCTATTTCCAGGGCCTTTAGGGAGGGACCAGGCATGCTGATAACAGACTACCAGATCGACACTCGGATCACCTTCCAGTCTCACATGCAGCAGACGACCTGGTATGACTTCTCGATGCTGGATCTGCGCTGGAGTATAGCTGGACCTATCGACAAGGACTAGAATGCCAGCTTCAGGCTTGGAGGTGCCGCTGTGGAGCGCAGAAAATCTGCCCGTGTGATACTCCATATGACCTCTCCAATGCGTCTCCTGCACGGCTACCAGGTTGATCTGTTGGCCTTCAGGTGAGCTCAGCCATGTGTTTAACTCTAGATTGCGGTCTGTTGTTAAACACCCAGCATTCCAAGTTAGATAGTGAAGTCTCCTGGCAGGTGGCTGTTGGGGTAGGGAAGGTTTCGGTTTGGGAGGAGTGGGACTATGTGTAACCCCTAGTTGCTGGGCATTCATCCAGCGGCCTCGATATCTGGTGCCACCGTTCTGAGTGGCTCGTTGCTGAGCTCTTCGGAAGGCTCGCTTCTGTACAGGGCGGGGAGTTCGGAGAATATTGGGGTCAGCACCGTTGTGGTTTGCCACATTATAACCACAGAAGCTAGCATGTTGCTTTGCTTCAGGAGGTTCCAGGTGTGCAGAGCCTCCAACCCTCGTGTCTACAGGAGGTGGCATAGCCGCCAGGCTATGTATGTGACTGAAGAGCACTAAGATGAACAATAGTGCAGGGCAGATAGCTGCCGACCTCCTGCCCCTGGACTTGGGACCAGGGCGGCCTACATTATTGGGGAGCGTAGGGTGGCTCGTCAACTGTGCTTGGGTGACTGCGGCAGAAGTATATGCAAAAGATGGAAAATCAAACTGTACAAACGCAAGACAGCAAGTCAGAGCGAATCTCAGTAGGGACCGCCATTCGAAGCCCAGCCAGCGTCGCTGTCGTGGCCCATGACGGCGACGACGAAGTCGTCGTCGACGAGGAGCTCCTGGTCGTCGATGTCGGCTCGGTCGAAGACAGCGTCCTAGGTCTCGGCGGGAAGCAGCAGGGCCAGGCCTGCGGGATTCAGCGTGCATCCGGTCCCCTGGAGCTGGACGAGGGCTCGCCTGTTTCTTCCAGCGTGGCGGGGTGAGGCTCTCCTGAGTACCTTCGGCACCATTGCTGAAAACTCCGCCTGTCGTCATCGTTGAGGAGCGGGAAGATGGCCAGGAGGGTGGGCACAAAGAGAAAACCCTGTACCTGTTCCACGACATAGCTGGCCAGGTGGTCCGCCGAATCCTTGCGCAGACGTGTCTGCAGGCTGCGTCGCAAGAGTATCGCCAGGCATTGAAGGAGAAGGTTGCGCGGTGGGTATGGCCGGTGGTTCGCAGCAAGAACCCACGTAACATCATTCTCTGGCGTGCCATTTTGCCAGAGAGCACCCAGGGACTGGTAGTCCTGGTCAAGGCCAGCGGCAGGCTCCTCGTCGAGCTGGAGGTATACGTAGTGGTAAATGTCTCCAGGCTCCTGATGCGCACGGCTTCGGCGCTGAGCTGCCAGTCTGGCATTTCTTGACCGTCGGTCAGGGTGATATAGGCTGAGATGGCCTGCCAGGTAATAGAAACTGAGTTCCCGTAAGGATTGATGGGCCACCTGCTCCATGAGTATGCCGTGTCCAGCAGGTAGGGCAGAGTGGGCCCGTTCTGGCTCGACTGCATCCTGGGAAGGCTCCTGGTGGCGAGGTCCTTGTGCAGGCTCATTCTCCTCTGCTTCACTACTGCTGTGTCCCAGATTGAGATCACTAACATCACCATCGTCGCTGTCCAGCATGTTAAAAGCTTCATCACTGTCAAAAGAGCTGGATGCCGCTTGCGATCTAGGCATGCCCCGGCTCGAAAGCCCCACAAGCAGGCAGCCTATAGAAAATGGAAAAAGTCGCAGCGTGGTTCCAGCAGCGCAGACAATGTTCCGCAGTTGCACCCATGCACAAAGGGGGCCCCAGATCAAGAAAAGTGTTTGGGAGACACTTACTGCTACTACTACTACTACTACTACTACTACTACTACTCCTGCTGCTGCTGCTGCTACTACTACTACTACCACCACTACCACTATACTGCCACTAGCACTACCACTGCCCCTACCCCTACCCATACCCTACCCCTACTCCTACTCCTACTCCGACTACTCCTACTCCCACTGCTAATTACTCATACTACCACTACATTGGCTGTTCTTGCCAGCACTATCACTACCACTGCCACTGCCACTGGCACGTCCACTGCCACGGCCACTAACCACTGCCACTACTCCCGCTCTTCCTCCTGCTGCTGCTACTGCTCCTGCTACTGCCACCGCCACCGCCCATCACCGCCACCACCGCCGCCGCGGCATCCGCGACCGCGGCCGCGGCCCTTGCGACTGTTACTGCTACTGCTGCTGCTGCTGGTCCTGCTGCTGGTGCTGCTGCTGCTGCGGCTGCTGCTGCTACTACGACTGCTGCTTCCTGCTGCTGCCGCTGCTGCTGCTGCTAGTGATGATGCGACTTCGACTACGAGTGCCACTGCCACAGCTGCTGCCGCTGCCGCCGAATGGCGTATCTGTTTACCACCGTTGTTCGAAGCAGAAAAAGAAGACTGCAATGTTTTGCAGTGTCGTGCTGTTGCTGTGTTAGCAGGATAGTCAAGGCTGAGCGGGCATACCTTGACCGCCCACGTATCAAATGCTGCCTTCGGGCAGCGTTCACTGAACAAAGCACAGCAGCAAGGCCTTCGGCTGCGAGGCGACTTCCCGCATGCTGCGAGCTCCTCCTCGAAATCTCGCACATCTGCAGCTAACTGGAATCAATGTCAAACCTCCAAGATTGCACGGTCGCAGAGACAAATATCCCGATCAAGCAGACTAACGTCATCGCGAACATCGCCATGTGTGCTGGCCTGCAGCTCCTCTTTGCGAGAAGCACCAGGATGATGACCTCTCGAGACTTGAATCACGATGTTCGCTGAATGGAAAGCACCGGGGGCGCCACATACGGCTTCTTGCAGAAGGCCCCGCGGCATTCTGCAAGCCCGCTAGGTCTATGGTTATTTCTTCTTGCTATGGAGGTTGCTCAGTGGTCATCTAGTCTGGCGGCATTGTACGCAAGTTGGCTAGAAGCTGGATGATTGCTGAACCGCAGCTGAGCCCGAAGAAGACGGCCCGTGGAATCCGGAAAAATCTCCACAAGTAGACCTGGAGTCGCAGGTGCCCGGGGGAGGGGGGGGGGGCCTAGCGATGCCTGGCCTGGCTTTCAAGGGCCCACAAGACAAAGCAAGGCGTTCCTTGCGGAGCAGATTGACTGCGTATCATAGCTTCTACCCGTCGCAGCAATCATTCCTGTGTCTCGCCCAGGGCATCACTTTGCTCTTCGCTCTTCCGTGTAGCCGTTCCATAACGTGATGCCATCAAAACCGTTGTTTCTGCACGGCCTGCCATTCTGATTCTGACGCATCAGGTACTAGCAGGACCTCCTCCATTCGCTCGTGACGAACGGAGCCTCGGTTCCCTAGGCTCTAGACGTAGACAAGGCGGCAAGACCTGCTAGGTATTGAGTCTTGAGATATCCATGTCGATGAACATGTTCAGCCATCAATTTCAGCCATCAACTTCAGACGCGAGGTATCATGGACAAAACACAAACAATACGTAGCATTGTGAAAGCGGCAACTCCACCTCGTCGCTTGTTCTCAAAGGTGCTGGGGGTTTTGCGGCATCAGGTGTCTTGATCGTCCGTGCACGGGGCTGATGGCGAGTAACTTCTCTCCTAAAGCCTAGGCCTAGTCTTGGTCCTGTTGTCAGCAAATTCCCGTGAAGCTCTTTTCAGCTGCTAGCAGCAAGCTGGGATGGGTACCGGTCTATCCCATGCTCCCATCTCCACTGCAGCGCTTGCTGGCGCAGTGCACAAACACTTCTGCAGCAGGCCGGTTGCTTGATCCGCACTCAGGTCGGGATCCCGCCCCTGTGTCGACTTTGAGTTTACAGCGTAGAGATGGCCTGAGAAAAGCTACTCAAAGGTACGAGTAGCTACAGGGCATGGCGGCAGTCCGTACCGAGGCAGCCATGCTGCTGCGGCTACTTAGCTGCTCTTCACTCCGTGGCTCTTTTTCGGCCAGGCTTTGGAGATGCGGCAGAGGCTCTCTGCGACTGCGCGGGCTCACTGCTGGGCTTCTTCGTCAGCAATAGGATTGGCGTGTATCACGATGCTCTGGCAACAATCAGACAGGAGATGACGGAAGTTGCGGACATATGTGCCGAGGCGTGACTCGAGCTTCCGTGCGCCTCAATCTTGATCGGCCGCATCGGTCTGTTCTTGGCATTGATGGGTTCCTGCAACAGAAGGCATGGACTCAACCGGAAGTGCGAAGCACCTCCTGCAACCGGCACAGCCAGCCGCATCCTTCTCCATCTTGTCAAGGGTGTCCAGGCCATCAATCAGCCTTTCAGCTATCCGTCATGCACCGTGAACCCAAAGGTAAATAACTCTCCGCGGGAGGTCCCCGTTGCCTTCCGAAGGTGGTGTAGACACCGTTAAGGTGGGGTTGGCGCGAGTACCTCTGCAAGGCGCACAAAACCCACGTCACATCGGGCCACCTCCAGTCCGCACGTCACAAAGAACTGGCTGCCGTTGGTATTCGGGCCGGTGTTCACCATGGACAAGCAGCCTTGCATCTCACACCATGACACAGGACGCCGACCCCTTCGACCATGCCTCTTCTCTCATGCTTCAACGTGGACACGAACTCGTCCTGCCATCTTCGACATCAACACAGGCAGCGCAGCAGTTTCAGAAGCCTCGAAATAGCCGCCATAAATGCTCTGACCACCTTTGCCAGTGCCGGTCGGATCTCCACCCTGCCAGCATCGTTTCAAGCTGAATGTGCCTCGCACTGCACAGAGGCCGATGCCTGGATCATGAAGCCCTTGATATTTCTGTGAAAGTTGGTGTTGTCATAGTAGCCTGGCGAAGGATGTTTTCAAGTCACCAGCAAGAGCAAAGGAACATCTTGCAAAACTGGACTCTAGAAACGTTTACCGGTTTAACGTATGTTGTCATGGAAGCTCGTTCGAGCAAATGACCTCCCGCTGTGCGAAGGAACGTATGTAATGTGCCGTTGCCAATCACCAAGCAGGTGGGAGCACCAGAGGCAGCTAGTGCCAGGAAATTCTTGCACGACTTCGGAGCTTGGGCGCAAAACAGCTCCACCTGGCGACGGCGCAAGACTGCAAGACATCTTGCAGAACGGAAAGGCGCATCTTCTCTTAGATCTCTTAGCCTGGACAATGATCATAACGTTCCCTCACAGGCCTTGAGCGGCCCCAAGTTCGTCTTGATGGTGAGCGACATCTCCCTGACGGCCCACAAAAGAGGGTTCAGGAGTGTCGAGTCTAATCTGCATTTCCATAGGTCAGACCACAGTGAAGATCACTGAAGATCGCCAAAAATGGACCCCAACCCTCGAAACACATGAAAAAAGCACGCCTTCTGGGCCTCTTGCCCAGGCACGCGCTTCAGCTTGAGCCCAAACGAAGGGTCAGAATCATCACTAAAGTCATATTTTGACGGACCTTCGCGTGGCCGCAGAGATCATCAGCAGAGAAAGAACAGTTAGACAAGCGCAGCCTGTCAGGGCCTGTCAATTCACCCCCTGCTTTTTGCGAACTGGCTGAAAGCTCAGCGTCACTCAGCAGCGTCTCCGCCTAGCAAGTCTTTGACTGCATGTACGGTCAAGGTCGAGCCAAGACGAACCCAACAGCAACATGAAGTCCACAGCACACAGCTACAAGCGTGCCCGCAGCACCAAGACATGATCACCGTGCGTGTGAACCTGCACCAAACAGTCTGGACATGTCTGGACTCTAGAGCCTCTTCGATGATGACAGTCGAGACAGTCATTCCGGCGAAGCATACACCCTCCCACCTGGCGGATCAGATATCGTCCTTCATCCGCCCACTCCGCGACCCTCACAGAGGCATCGGCTCGGCTTCTTAAAAAATTTTCTTGGGACAGGCGCCTTGCCTCTCGTTCATAGATATCTGAATGCCCAGGTGCTGAAGCGCGATTCGCGAATACCTGAAAGAGCATTCGAAAGGGAGCTTACGAGACCGGACCGGCCCTTGGCACATCCCTGTTCCTGTTTTTGCGATGCAACACAGCATCTCTGGCCAGGTGCTTGGATGTTTTAGAAACTCCATACATGAAGCATGACACGTTTACATTTCGGCGGTTTCATGGTCTTGGAAGCTTCTCAGGCCGGTGCCACTGCCCCAGGTATGGTATCCTCGGGTTCTGCAACGCACACATGTTGTTGCAATGGTAGCGCTTAGCTGCTGCTGCTGCTGCTGATGCTAGTGCTGCCGCTGCCAGTGCTGGTGATGGTCACATACGGCCGGCGCATTGACAGAAAGACACATGTCATGCCCTCTTCATGGGTGTGCCTGAGGAGCTGGCTGCCTGCTTTGGACAAAACCCTGGAGCTCGTGGAGGGCGGCCTCGGCAAGGCAAGAGCTTCTGGGTCGACGTGCTTTTCCATGCCTCGCCTCCACATTGCAACACCAGCAAGCGCGCACAACCGTCACTGAAGGCGTCAAGTGCAGGAGTGCAGGCGACTTATACCTTTGACTCATGGGCTCTCACAGAATGACCGACGAAGCGCACGTCGCCGGACAGCTCTCCTGGATCTTCACAGGATCTGAAGTAGTTACTCTCCCCGGCCTTCCTCTTGATTGCTCTTCCTGGCTCCCTGACAAGAGTCAGGCTGACTTCTTCCCGCTCCCTCAACGTCCCTCAACCTCGGCTCCTTGGCTCGTCACGATGCCCTCACCACGCTCACGCCGCGTTGCCGAGGCCATCGCCCAAAACGCTCCGAAGCTCCCGAGTGCCGAGAAACCGCCAACGTGCAGTCGTTTGGGGCCCAAGCTTCTTCGAAAGCAGGAACATGCGCGCGAAAGCGCGGAATATCTCAGATCTGTCAACGACACTCTTGCCACGCCAAGGATTGGAGCGCAACTTCACGGCTTTGCACGATACTACTAGTAGTTGCTAGTAGGAATGCAGGACTGCCCTCCCCCTCTTAAGGAGGGCATCCCGATGCAATAGCAGCGGCAGAGTCACACGGCCCCTTGGCCGGGCTACTGACATAACGCATATTGCCGGGCAAACATAAACAAAGCTGCGACCTTTGTCGCAGCTCTCACGATGGTGGCCTGTGTCAACATGCTGGGGTCAAGGGCACGAGTTCACCACATGTGTAGAACAAGCTCCCGAAGAAGTGCATGCAAGAGGCGCAAGTCGCCACCTCACCTCCGATCGGATTTTCTCCATAACCTTCCCACATCCGCATCAGAAACGAGCCTATGAGGCGCAGCGCCCCACCGATGCAGTACAGTTGAGGCAGGCACAGCGAACATGACAGCAGACTGAGTCATCCCCCGCATGATCTCCTGCCGAAACCGCCCTTTGCCACGCGAGCTCCAGCACATTAAGCAGACCCAGCAAGCAAGGAAAGTAAGGAGGTCGGTCCATGCTGAGGCCACGATAGAGAGCAAGTGGACCCTCGTCAAAGAAGACCTTCACCGACTTTTGTCATGGTGCCATCAGTCGAGTTCAGGCAGCTTAGCTCCTGGCATTCTGCAAGGCTGCAGAAGCGCTCGGCGCCAGCTTTGCCTTTGTTCCATTGCATCGGATTCCCCTTATAGACCTCTGAAGCCTTCGATTGCGCTGTGAACAGCGCCTGCGCGAGCGCCTTCCCCCGCACCTAAGCGAACCAGAAGCCGTCCGAGCGGTGTGCCGTTTTGCTCCAGCCAAGCTTGGGCGCCCGCGTAGGGATACACGAAGCATGTTGCGATGCCCCGTGCAACTGGCAGAGGAAGGTTGTGTGGGGAGACAGGAACCAGCTCATGGAAAAAGTTACATCGACGACCATCAGCAAGGAGGTAAGACAAACCCCCGACGTTGCTGCCACCAGGCCGGAGCGACGGGCTCCAAGCAGGAAGGCCACAAGAGGCGGGAGGTCCTGGAGA